AGACTTGTTCTAATTCTCTAAGCATAATTGTTGCTAAAAAAATTTTTACAGTACAAAAATAAATGAGAATAATTTAAAATGTATACTTAGTTTAGAAAAGCAGTTCATACCGACTGCAAATCTAATAAATAATTTATATTCAACACTAATTTATTATTATCATTATAGCTATAGTACTATATTAGTACTATAGCTATAATGATAATAATAAATAACCTATAAAGTATTTTTGTAATGTTTTTATTGTTATTATTTCAAAAAGAGTAAAAAACTTATTTAATTATATAACATATATAATGGCAAGTTATTTGTTGTTTCTCTTGTATCACCTATTCTTTGGTTTAGGTTGGCAGCTTTATATAAATCATTAAAAAATGTCAAAAAAGAATGTTTGTGTAGCAATCATTTCAGATACTATAAAGTTATGCATCTATAATATTATAAAGTTTTAATACTACTTAAAATACTATAAAGTTATACACCAAAAAATTAATAATATTGCACTTTTACCAATTTATAATATTGTATAAAATAAATAAGTAAATAAGTTATTTACTTATCTATTTTATTTAAAAAAGCTGTTAGTATTTTAATTTATAATCATATTTTTATAATCATCATCATCATCATCATCATCATCATCATCATCATCATCATCATCATCATCATCATCATCATCATCACCATTGTTATAATAATTGTTGTGTTGTAATTATTATTTTTACCATTATTTAATAATGGTAAAAATAATAATTACAACAACAACAATTATTATTATTAATAATGATTATTACCATTAGATTTACTTTAGAACTACTTACTAATATTATTAGTGAATACCTAGGTATTTATTTCTGAAATTTATTAGTTTATTTATATAAACCTTCTTTATTAAAACAGTAAAATTGTGGTAAACATATAAAAATAATCAGAGAAGCCCTGAAATTTTTTTTTTTAACAAGTATTTTAAAATTTCCAAAATTTCCAAAATTTCCGGAAATTTTCCGGAAATTTTCCGGAAATTTTCCCGACTTCAAAATTTCCGGGAAATTTTCAACCCTAATCTCATATAGTATGAGATGCAATGCAACATGCATCTCATATTACATAGCAATGTAACATGTATGTTATGCAATTATGTTATTTGAGATGCATGTTATGCAATAATATTATATGAGAATTATGTCATGCAATTTAAAGGTGTTTTTTGACACATGCTATACAGTGACGGATCCAGGTATTTTTGGTGATTGAGGCAGCTAACTCCCAGATATGGAGCAAACTCCAAACATTAGTATGTTTATACTTGTGTCAAATAATGAGACTTTGCAAAAAATTGCGATGATTTGATGCTGGGAACGAATAAGTCTTTTGACTTCATCTTTCCCACCACTAACGTGAGGGGCATCAAGTTGATAAAACTTTTTTTGTACTATTCTCAATTAGAATTATATTCATTGATAAATTTTAAGTTTCATAGTATTATCTCTCAGCGTTTAAAAATTATGACCATACAAAATTTGTAACCTCTTCGAATTGAGGGGCTTTAAACTTTATATAAAGTTTAAACTTTTTTTGTACTATACTCAATTAGAATTATATTCATCATTAAGTTTCATAGCGTTCAAAAATTATGAACATATAATTATATGTTCATAATTTTTGAACGCTATGAAACTTAAAATTTATTGATGAATATAATTCTAATTGAGAATAGTACAAAAAAAGTTTTATCAACAATTACCCCTTACGTTTAGGTACTTTTTCGTTCCCAGCCTCAAATCATCGCAATTTTTTTGCGATGCCTCATAATTTGAATAAGTATAAACATACAAATGTTTGGAGCTTGCTCGATGTCTGGAAGTTAGCTCAAACACCCAAAAATCCTGCATCTGTCACAGCAAAGATAAAAATTCCTTTTAAAAAACTTAATTAAAAATCATCATTTTGAGTAGAGAAATCTTATTAATAACTTTTTATTAATAATTAATTTAGTTATCATAACTTTTAGAGTTTTGTGTCTAAATTTATAATTTTAATACTTTTATTGAAATTTGGTATTGTATAAACATGAATGATATACAGCAGTTGTTGGTTATAAAACCTAGTAGTTTTCTGCGAGTTTCCCGCGTTTATTTCTCATTTGCTATAATTAACATACACTATCATATTTTTAGCTCGCTTTTGAACTTAAATATATACAACTGGTTTATTTTTGCTTGCTTTTGAACTTAAATATATATAACTGGTTTATTTTTGAATGCGTAAGTGTATTTCTACATCAAAGTTTATTTGTAAAGAACGGAAATTAATGTGAAAAAATTAAAAAAGTATTAATTTAAACAAAAATAATTCAGAACGCATTTGATAAACAACGTTTTTTTTAGCTTTTTTAGCACCGCATTGGGGAGGTTTTATTTGTGCTTGTTTATTTTTCATTTTATCAAGAACTCTGTATCCAGTTTGTTTAATGATTAATAGAAGCTAATTTATCAAGAAAACGTATACAACTAATGGAGTTGTATACAAAAAATGAACGGTAGATTTTCTTCCATATTAATTAACAGCCATGGTAGATTTTTTTCCATATCAATTAAGTATTACTCAACCCCATAATAATTGCTTGAAATTAATAAAGCATTTCGTTGTTGCTCTTGGAGTTTTGAAATCGGAAAAGGAAATTCTATTTTTGGATGGCCAAAGCTATCAGTTGTTTGAAGATTTTTTTTTTTTTTTTTTCTTTTTTTTTTTTTATTATTTATTTATTTTGCCGTTGATAAATATAACAAAAAAGAAACTACAATAAAAGAAAATCCTGGCCGGAGCAAGAAGAAGACAGGTTGTCTTATCACCGAGCCCCGTCACACAAAAATTTATATGCACAATAAATGATAAAAGACAAAAATACATAGTATAAATACAAGAAAAAAAAACAAATCAAAAACTTCAACAATAAAATAATTTGTTGCTGACAATCCTCCAGCAGAATAATTAATAAAAATTTAATTTATTTTTAAGTGATTTAGTTTAAACCTTTAAATTGTTTTCAAAAATTAGAAATCTAATATATCGAATTCCATGTTCAGTAAATGCCCTTTTGAATCATCCTTAAAACTTTGCAAAGTGCAGTTTAAAATGAAGTTTTGTTTTTTACTAAAGATTGGAAGAAATTTTTTCCAAACTAAAGGTCCCCGATATTGAATTTGGTACGAACTTAATTTAAGAAGGTTTATGGGAACCACAAAGTTATTCACTGAAAATTTGGTTGGATATTTATGGGAGATTTCATTAAAGTAGGATTGAAATGTTAGTGGAGAAAACCCAAGTTTTGCTTTAAACATAAATAACATTACTTGATGAATATTAAGCTTATAAATATTTAAAGCTCCAAGCTGACGTAAGAGAGGTTCGCATTGTGTTTTTCTATTTGCCCCAAATACTATCCTACAAGCATGTTTTTGTTTACTATAAATTTTTTTGAGTTTAGTGTGATTAGTGCTACCTCAGGAAATGTTACAGTATGAAAGATAGCTGTGTATAAACGAAAACTATAAATTTTTTAAAGCCTCGTTGTTTTTGTAAAATATAAATTTTTTAACGCCTCGTTGGTTTTGTACGGTATAACATGGCAATATTTTTGAGATCTTACCTTCAATATATTTAATATGAAATTTCCATGACAACTTTTCATCTAAGAACACTCCCAGACAGTTTGTAGTCAATTCCTTTTTAATTATTTTATTATTGATTAAAAGATTGGGTGGTTTAAGAGGAATATTCTCGGTTTTACAAGGTTTATGGAATAGGATAAATTTTTTTTTCTCTACATTTAATGATAGTTGGTTACTTATAAATCACTCGTTGATTTTATCTAATTCTTCGTTAAATATTTAAAAAAACAGTAATATCTTTGTGAGAATAAAACAAATTAGTGTCATCTGCAAATAAGATAGTATTTAATACTTTTGATGATAAATATAAATCATTTATATAAAGTAAGAACAATAACAGTCCCAAAATAGAACCTTGGGGTACTCCACAAGTTATTAAGTTGTTCTTTGAGTCTTTTTATTTTTTAAGTAAAAATTGCTTTCTGTTAGTTAAGTATGATTTAAACAAAAGTAAACTTTGATTTTTAAAAACCATAGTTTTCTAATTTTTTCAAAAGAATTTTATGATTTACTGTGTCGAAAGCTTTGGATAAATCAATAAAAAACCCTATTGTATACCAATCACTATTAAATCCATTTGATATATGCTTAACCAATTTAATTATTGCATGGTCAGTAGAATGATTTTTTTTAAAACCGTATTGAGCAGTTAACTTGGTTATCCTTAAATTGCAGGTTTTAAAATGGAATTGTCTGTTAACTGTAACGGTGCATTAATAAACTATTGTGTCCTTTAAAACGATAGTTGTTTTTCAAAGCTTTAGTTATTTTAAAATTTAATAATGAAAAAAACACTAAAGAAAATGCTTCTAATATATAGAAGAAGATTTTTAAAAGAATTTTGAAGAACCTAGAGTAGATACAAAAAAAAAAAAAATGCGAAAAATGCGTTTTTCAGGTTTTTGTTTCTGCAACAAAAACTTTTTTTTTCTGTTATATCTCTTTCATCGTGTACTAAGCGTCAACAATTATGCATAGATCTCTAATAGGAAATAGTATCTAGTAGACTAAATTTACTTTTCTTTTTAGAATAACTAGCTGTCAACCGTATAATTCATGTTGAAAGATGTTCAATGCTTAAGTTTTTAAAAAACAAAATAACCTTTAGTTTGACAGTTGACTTTGTTTACGTGTAAGGAAAGCTTAAAGTATTACATTGAATGGGGATATACCATCGTAATAAGCAATAAAGCGTTTATTGAATTTCTCAAATGCTAACATGTTTTAATTTTAATTTTTAATGTCTATATTTAACTATCAAATAAGTGCGCACAATTTGCTTAAAGAATGAATAAATTATGCGTTACATGGATTTTAATTATTGCAAGTGTTTTACATTTTTAAAGATAAAAATTATTTGGTGTGTTTTTATTAACAGATTATTAACGATGAGGATAACGTTAAAAAAAACAGTTGTTTGTACAGCTTTATTGTGTTATGCTATTTTGTCATGCAAGTTATTAAAATTGTCAAATTTTTTTACGTTCAGTATATTTGATAATGGTGCTAACAAAATTAAAAAGTTAAGTTTTAATTATGAAAGAAACCCCATAAATAATTACGATAATAAAAAAATTATTTATCCAAACAACCAAACCTTGTTTGTAAAAAACTTAGATAAAGATAAACCTATTGCTTTCCAAAAAAGGTACGTAAAAGACAAAATTATCTCAACTTTAAATTCAAAGAAAAGCGATAATTTTATAACAAAAAGTGAATATAAAGACCAAGCCGTTAACAACGCTAAATTAGTTAACAAAACACAAAATATTCAAACAGATTGGACTGAATTGATTTACTTTCACAAAAAAGTATACAATAAATACACTGATAAAGAACTTCTTGATTATTTCGACAGAGAGAAAATATCAAATCAGTTGTTTAGATACCCTTTAGATATTGATTCTAATCGCGATTTGCTTAAAACGTTGTTTCCAAGTCCAGTAGAACGTCGGGATCGAGTAACTGATCAGTTAAGATTAAAGCTGAAAACTAATACAACTAAAGTCATACTTGCTTATAATAATCAGGCGGATTTGATTAGTGAGTCTAAATTGAAAAACTGCAACGTAGACAAATGTGTTATTAAGACGGATATAAACTATCTTTCTTCGGCCGATGTTGTATTTTTTGAGAATACTATTTCCTTGTACTCTAAGCAAAATCTTCCAAAAGATCAGGTTTGGATATTATATCAGCTTGAATCTCCATTAAATAGCCCAATTCAAGTGAATGATAACTTAGTTAACTGGACGGCCACTTACCGCCAAGATAGCGTTATTAACACACCCTACGAACGGTTCACGCCGTACTTGAACATCAGCAAATTTCCTAAAATTCCATTACGAAATTACGCTTTAAATAAAAGCAAAACTGTTGCATGGTTTGTTTCAAATTGTGCCACTCAAAATGAACGTTCCACTTTAGCAAAAGAACTTAACAAATATATTAAAGTTGATATTTATGGATTATGTGGTACGTTAGAATGTCAAAGGAGTGATGCTGGTTGTTTTAAAAAATTAAAAAGAGAGTACAAGTTTTACTTGTCTTTTGAAAACTCTAATTGCAAAGATTACGTCACTGAAAAGTTGTTTTGGAACGCATATGAGTAAGTTACGGGTTTTCTTTCACTTTAGTTTAAACAAAAAAAATGTTTTGAAAATGTCATAAAGGGTCGCCCATAAATTACTTAACGCTCTAGGGTGAGGGTTTAGTGGTTTTTTGACAACTTGTATGAGAATTGTTTTTATAGAGATACGATGTTGTGACGAGAGGGTCAAAACGGTTAAAAATTGCGTGTCGTAATTTTGGACGACCACTTACGCAAATAACCATTAAAACAGATCGCGTACACGTTTTCTAAAAGTATGGTATTAGCCAAAATTTAAGTTTTTTTTCCAAAACAAAAATAAATAAAAAAACATTATTCACTTAAAAGTAGCTAGAGTTTCACAATCAAATGTGTTTCACAAATCAAAATGTGTTTCATATCAAAGTTTAATGAGGTATTTTAAATTGAGATTTGATAAAGCATTTATATTTATTTAGTTTAATCAAAACCTTCATTAATTTGTTTTGATTAATTTCAAATAAAAAATTCCTTAATAACGTCTTTCAGATGTTTTCACGAGCAAATTTTGAAAGCAAAGCTTGAAGCACAGATTTTTATTTATTAGAAAACGGAAAAATTTAAGAAAATATTTAAAGATCTAAACTAGTTCTTGACTAGTTTTCGAAACTAGTTCTCGAAACTAGTTCTCGATTAGTTCTCGAAACTAGTTCTCGATTAGTTCTCGAAACTACTTCTCGATTAGTTCTCGAAACTAGTTCTCGATTAGTTCTCGAAACTAGTTCTCAATTAGTTCTCGAAACTAGTTCTCGATTAGTACTCGATTAGTTCTCGAAACTAGTTCTCAATTAGACACATCGGAGGGCAATCACATACACTGTTGTGTAATAACGAATAAAATGCTAATTGTAATAACTGCAAAAATTATACTTTGCAACAACAACAACAAAAAAGGAGTGCTTTTATATCCATAGAAGCTACAAAAGAGTGTTACTCAAGAAAAAAGTGGCATAAAATTATCAGAAAAAGTTAAAATCAAACTATAGTGAACAACAACCGCAGCTTCATTACATTACTGCATGTCTGGAACTGAACATGGGATTCCTTCTCAGCAGGTAAAAAGCAAATTGTCAAATTTAATTTTTTTAAATAATGCTGTTTTGACCATGTTCGGAGTTACCCCGCGTTCACCATTTCCCATTTCTCCCCTATCACGAGGTTAGATTTATCTTGTTATATCTCTACATTTTTGAGTTTTGAGATAAAACGAGATAGAATTATCTTGTTCTATCTTTCCCCATTTTTTAGGAGGAAAGATAAAACAAGATAATTCTAACCTCGCGATAATAAAAAAACTAAAAAAGATATCAAAAAAGTTTTTACATTTGCCGACAATACTAAAAGTCAAAGTTTTCTGACTAATATAGTCTGCATATGCCGACTCGCTGGTCTAAAAGAGCTAAATTTGCGTAAAATTAATGAACTAAAACTCATTAACGGAAGAACGTTACTTGAATTATGCTACGTTAAAACCATACAGTTAAACTGAAAATCTTTAACGAAATTATAGTTTACTTGTCTCTTATGAATTTTAATCATAACTAAAACCCTGACCAAACCCTTATCCTCAGTCGATGTATTTTTTTTTTTAAAGTTGATTAAGGTTCCCCATGAAGTCCTTACGGTCTTATCACAGAGCACCTCGGAAGAGCATTTAATAGAAAGTTCACGCCTGCTTCATAACCGATGTCGCAAAACTTGCTCAGAGGTGGGGTTTGAACCACGGATCTTACGTTTCTGAGGCAAGTGCGCTACCACTGCTTTAAATTAATAAGGAATGCTTTTAAGATCTCAAAACAACAAACTTCAGGCATATTATAATTAATAATGATACAATTAACAAATCTTAACAAATAATAAAAACAAAAGTTTCAATGAATAAATGCCAATCTAACTAGACAAACTTAATATGATGTTTTTTCGTTTAAAACGACATAGTTTCTTGTTTGATTTTGGTGTAGAAAGTTTTCAGTGGTTTTTGATAAAAAAAAAAAATATAGGAAAGTATATTGCGATGATAACACTCAATTTCAATAAAGTAATACAGTTACGCATAAAAGTATTGAATACGGAATTCAAGCAAACTTTATCTTTAATCAAGTTGAAGAAAAACCATTGAACAGTATTGTCAAAAGGACTTTTTAATTCACCTATTTCAAATGATTTTGGGTATTGACCAAAGTTTAAAAATAAAATATTATACTGGTCAAAATTTCACATTTGTTACGCAAATCATAATTTCAAAATACTTTCAAAATAATTTCAAAAATCAAAATTTCAAAAATGTTAAAAGAAATTTTTGGTTTCAAAGAACACTTAAAAAATTTGTCTAAAAATACTTTTCTTAAATTTCTAAATTCTGTTTCAAGTAGTTATGTAACAAATTTTCCTAACATAACATATTTGTAACAACAGTGTTTCTCTTAATAGCCTTTTAATCAGCAAAACTATTTCTTCACGTTCTTCAATATTATTTTTTTTCATGTATAATGCTGTAAGTCGAAAATGCTGCATAGGACAATCAAACGTAAAACTTGTATTACAAATATCATAACGTCTAAAACACTTTTTGAAAGAGAATTCATATCATTGGTTTTCCAAAAGCAGCAACTTCATGAAACAATAACATTTTTGTAACATACACCTTGTCACAGAAAACAATAGTTCCTAGTAGAAATTTTCCAAGTACAAAAAAAAGTAGTAGAAAGTTTTTTGCAAACTTAGAATAAACAAAGAATCTATCTGAGTGGAAAATTGTGTAAAATGTTATTTTAGTTTAACCTGTTTGAAGTTTTGATGTCAACCAGATCATATACTAAAGTGTTGATAGACGTTTTAAAACTCGCATTAGGTAAACATTCTATCCAACGTGTTTTCTTCACTTAGTCTCTAATAGGGAGTTCAATACATTTTTTTGAAAGTTGTAAAAAATTTATAAACTACTCGTTTTAATAAATGTTTTTAAATCGTTTGAATTCTTCAATAATAAATAACTCGTAGCATACGAGTTTATTATCATTGAAGAATTCAAATGTATAAAGTCGTTTCAAAGCATGATAAACTGACTTTTACTACAGTTGCTACAGTCGATTTACCATTTTATTTAATTCCCAGTCCAATTTAAGTTGATGCGCGGCAAAACCCGTTAAAAACATAGGTTTTTCAGTGAAGCATTTTATTTCTCCGAATGAAATATTTTACATAGTCAACTTGGCTCAGCTGCATTTTACCTCTTGTGACCTCCGATAAGTAAAAAAGGACAAAAATACTGAACTGATTGTAGCAGGAGCTACACTTGCTGCAGCCTAGATCCGAAAAATATATGCTAAAATAAATTATTTGTTCTTTTTTGTTTTATATATATTTTTTTAACATTTCAAACTATTATTGTTTCTTTTATTTTATCAATCGTTTCAATATTGTAGAAATATTTCAGTAAAGTAATTAAAATATATATATATATATATATAATACTTTTATATACAATGTACACTTGTGTTTACGCAAGTAGCTAGAATAACGTTATTAGCTTTTACATTAAGAACTATAAGAAGCAAGAACGCTATTAGTAAAGCACACTGTAAGTTACAGTCTGTTAACGGTGTTAATGCTTTGTATCACTTTTGCCATTTTGATCGTACCTTGTGGGCACAAGACGTGTTTTAGACGTCCAAATAAAGTGTTAAACGGTTTACTACGTGTTTTATGCCCTATACTATTGTTACTAGGAATAATTTTTATCAAATTATAAATCATTGTTTAAAATCATCGACTTATAATTAGGGTTGCTTTTACAAAGGAGAACACAGTAAAAATTTTTTTTACTGTTTTGGCACTATTGATGCATTATTTGTATTATTTTCATTTACTAGCTTAAATACTTCAATAATATGACAAATAGCTATTTTGTTGCAATTTAATGGAAACAAACCACATTTCTCAAAACCAGCTCTTGCATTTTCAGGTATGAATCCATATTCAACTACATATTTCATAAGATGAGCAAACTTTTCTTTATTAATATCGGTACTGATCCTTAAGTAAGAACTAAGCACCTCTCGCCATTTATTCTCTTCCATAAAACCCGCATATCCGGCAACCCTAGGTATAATAGACTAACTGAATGGAGAAAAAAGCCAAAAATTGGTTAAAGTTGTGTACAGCCTTAGTATTATAATTATTCCACCGATAAATTAAAACGGCGCCTTTGCGTTGAAAAAAGAAAAGTTTTTATGTAGTTTATAAGCTTTGAAAGTTTCAAAAGAAGCGGAAACTTTGTATAAAAGTTGAGTAAGTTTTTAACAACTGTTTGATCTATCAAGAAGTAAGGACAACAAAAATCGTTTTTTAGGAAAAGTAACTCTTTTTTGAATACCTCAATAGTAGGCATAAATATCAAAGTTTTAGTCAATCTCTACTACTTGTTTAAATTGTTTATTACTTGTTTAAATTGTTTATTACTTGTTTTATCTCTCCAGGATTTTATTTTTTGCAGTAGCACTTTTTGCCGGACTTTAAAACAATTAGCTTTATTTTAAATATATGAATATATAATAACTTTTTGTTATTATATATTCATAGAAAGGTTTCTTTTTTTTTTCTCTATCTAATTTGTCTTATAACATTTTTATATATAATTTGTTTGTTGTAAAATACGAAAGGTAATGTAAAATACAAAATATTTTCAATATATATATATTATAAAGTATTAAGAGATTACAAGACAAATGAAAAATGAGATTTTAAGATATTAGATTACAAGACATAAGAAAATGTTAAATAAAACTTACATCCAAAATGTGAAACTCATTTTTAATTTTATAACTTTTTTTTTGTTTTTATGTTTTTTGTTCAGGAATGATGTTGTTCCTATTGTTATGGGAGCGCATCCTAACGAATATAAAAATATCGCTCCTCCTCACAGTTATATACATGTGGACGATTTTCCATCAGTAAAAGATCTCGCAAAATATTTAATTTTTCTCGATCAAAATGACTTATATTATAATCAATACTTTTTATGGAAAAATACTGGATCCTTTATCGACACTAAATTTACATGCCGGTTATGTGCAATGGCACATTTAGCAACTTTGTTTCCAATGTGGTACTCAGATCTAGCAAGTTGGTGGAAAACCGAAACTTGTCGATATTCGAATTCAATATCTTGGCGCAATACTAAAGAATCAGTAGCTTACGCACAATACGTAAAGTACGGATATCAACGCACATAAGATTTAATCAAAAAGCAAAATTAATTACTAATAAAATTAATATCAATTAAGAAATTGATAAATTTAATATTAATTAAAAAATAAAATACTAAAGTTTTATTTAACATATTTATTTATTTTTATTTTTTGTATACCATATGTTAAAAAAGTAAACTTAAAAATTTTTTATTAAACTTTTTTTCCATTGAAAATTTAAAAATCAAAACTGAGATGTGCCAAGTTTAATCGAGTACTATGTTTCTGGTATACGGCCGGAATATGTTGTATACCATTTAGATAAAGTTACCCCTTCTCCAAATACATTTATTTGATTAGAAACATAATTCTTACTTAGTTAATATACTTTTTAAACTCAAAAACTCAAAGTTAAAACTAAAAACAGAGCCTTACTATTTTTCATCTTTCATGACACGTCTAAATAACCTCTTTATTGACAAAGAATTAAAACTATTAGATGCGAACTTTAGTAAAACCTGTACGTCTCTGTATTTTGCCATAAAATCCAGTTTTGCATTATATAGCGAGCTCGCTTTTTATACCACTCTTTTTATTATTTTTTATCTTCTTCATCCCAGCTAGCACACTTACATTGGGCCAACGTATGTAAAACCATCGCAAACGTCGGCTCTTTTTTGCAATGCAAAACCAACTTTGATCCAATGTCATTTGGTTAATAATAAAATTATTACCGACGGAACTAAAATATCTAGTAAATTTGCATTGGTCCAATGTATGTAAAAACATCGCAAAAAGTTGATTGTTTTTACGATCTAAACACAACGTTGATCCAATGTATATATTTCGACGTTGATTCGATGTATATAAATCAACGTTGATCCAATGTATGTAAATACATCGCAAAAAGTTGATTGTTTTTACGAACTAAACCCAACGTTGATCCAATATATGCGACCAAATATTGCTATTGCGAAATATATATAAGTTAATTAAAATTTTCCGTGATTATTAAAATATCAAATTACAATCAACACAAACATGTTTTTTATTCCTATGATCAAGGGTTAGTCATCTTAAACGCATTTATTTATACACCTTGTTTAAGTCGTATGTATATGTATATGTATACTTTATATTAAGTCGGATGTATATGTATATTTATATATATATATATATATATATATATATATATATATATATATATATATATATATATATATATATATATATATATATATATATATATATATATTACATATATACAGCGCCGGCTTTTAGGGGGGGGCGAGGTCGTGCGTTGCACGAGGGCGGCAAGTAAATAGGGGCGGAGAATTTTATTAGTCACAAGTTTTAATTTTCCAGTAGTATATTAAAAATTTAAAGTAAATTAAAAGATTTAACGACCTTTGCAAAAAAAAACACAATTTTAAATTTGAAGACAAAAAATTACTACATTTACTTAATTAACCCACGATTTTCTATTGTAATTTGTAGTATAATTTGTGCGTTATTTTCCCTAGGAGTCATTTCGAAAAGTTGCAAAAAATTTTTTATAAAGAAGTTCAAAAGTTTTTATTTTTTGTTATTAAATGTTAAGTTGACTCGATTTAAACAATTTTCAGTAAGTTTAGTTACTTTTTTTTTTATTTCTTTAATAATTTTATGAATGTGTTTTGTTAAATTTTTTTTTTTTTAAATTGTAGAAATAATTTTATCTTAAAAAATATTCTGTCTCATGTCACATAAAATTTCAAATTCGAGAAAAAAGTTGTCTGGTTATGAGTACAGAAAAAGAAAGTCCGTTAAAGATCAAAAATTTGAAAAAATTAAAAAATTCATGAGCATTGAAAAATATGTTGCTTATAAAAAATCTGACGAAGGTCGTGAAGATTTTAACCCTGATGCTTCAACTATCTCTACGACTATGTCCAATAAAATTAGAGAACCTTCAACAATACTCAAAAATAGTTGTATAACTTCATTGCAAATTGAAGTAGATAATGAACCAGTTATTTTAAAAGATTCGAATTATTTATCAGAAATTTTTTTACAAGAAACACTTAATTTATTGGATTGTGGAAATTGGCCAAAATTTCGATCTAGCAACTTTGTGGACCGTTTAATCAAACTTGGTCCTTTTCAAATTACAAAGGAAAAATACCCTGAAGATAGAAATGGTCGACATTTTTCTAGCATTTATAACAATAGAAAGCTTGCGAATGTAGAAACCTTTTGCCGTAGATGGTTGGTTTATTCAGATTCTAAAAACTTCGTATTTTGTTTTTGCTGTCTACTTTTTGATAATAATTCAAAGTCAAACTTAGTCTCTGATGGTTTCAAGAAATGGAGACATTTAACTGAAACATTGGAAATTTATCAAAACAGCGTCTCTCATACGAAATGTTATCAACAGTGGGTAGAAACTGAAATAAGATTAAAAACTGGAAAAACTATAGATAATGAAGAAATTAAAATTATAGAAAAAGACAGTTTGCGATGGCAAAATGTTCTTCTTCGGCTGATGAATATCACTCTTTACCTAGCTGAAAATAATATGGCTTTTCGAGGGAGTTCGGATAAACTGTTTACGCCTCAAAACGGCAAATTCTTAGGACTAATACAGATGCTTGCAAAATTTGATCCTGTGATGCAAAAGCATTTAGCACTTGCAGTAAAAGGTGACACTTCAGACCATTATTGCGGGAAAAATATTCAAAATGAGTTAATAGATTTAATGTCTCAAAAGGTTAATGATGAAATAATAAACCGAATCTTGAAAGCCGTTTACTATTCAATCATTGCTGATTGTACACCTGATATTTCTAGAAAAGAACAACTTTCTCTTACTATTCGAATTGTTGACTTGTCATTAGACATTAGAGTGGAAATTAAAGAGTACTTTTTAGGATTCTTTTCTGTTTCTGATTCTACAGGCTTAGGACTTACCGAGGTTTTAATCGAGTTGCTAACTAAGCATGGACTTGAAATCTCTAACTGCAGAGGTCAAGGGTATGATAATGGATCAAATATGAAAGGAAAGATTAATGATGTACAAAAAAGGATTTTAAATCTTAATCCTTTAGCATTATATGTTCCTTGCGGCAACCATAGCTTAAATTTGGTAATAAGTGACTCTGCACGGTCTTCAGTAAAATCTATAGCTTTTTTCGGTATTCTTCAGAGATTGTTTACTCTATTCTCAGCTTCAGTGAGCCAATGGAAAATTTTAATTGATCATGTTAAAATTTTGCATTTAAAGAAACTCTGTGACACGCGGTGGGAAGCAAAAATAAGTAGTGTTAAAGCCGTTCGTTATCAAGTTGGTAATGTACATGACGCTTTGATAGTATTGTCAGAAATTGAAGGATGTAATCCTGAAACTGCACATGAAGCGATAACTCTAGGAGAGCAATTAAAAGATTTTAGCTTTCTTGTCTCTTTAATTGTCTGGTATGACGTTCTTTTTCAAGTCAATATTGTTAGTAAAACTCTTCAAGAAAAAGACATGGACATCACTCAATGTGCAAAGTTATTGAAAAGCTATTGTTCATTTTTAGAAAACTATAGAAAATGTGGTTTTAAAGATGCAATTATAAAAGCAAAGGATTTGGCTATAGAATTACAAGTGGAGCCTGTTTTTAAACCACTTAAAAGAATAATACGAGTGAAACGCCATTTTGACGAACCAGTCCAAGATGGGATTTATTTATTTTCTCCTGAAAAAAAATTAGAAATCGATTTCTTCAATCCTCTTTTAGACACGTCTTTAATTTCAATGAGAGAAAGATTTATACAGTTGGAGAATTATTCCGAAGTTTGGGGTTTTTTGTATAATGTCGATAGTTTGCAAAAAAGAGAAGAAATTCTAAAATCATGTTTAGCTCTTCAAAGTAAACTTACCGTAAATCTAAAATCGGACTTTAATGGTATTCTCCCTTGCGATGAACTGATGAGCATTAAACCTTTTCTTTCTGAAATGGTCAAGGATAAAATTACTCCTATTATTGTTTTAAACTTTATAAAACAGCACAAAATGCAAGATTTGTATCCAAACACATGGATTGCAATGCGAATTTTGCTAACAATACCTGTCACTGTAGCGAGTGGAGAAAGAAGCTTTTCCAAAATGAAACTAATAAAAACCTATCTGCGGTCAACAATGTCGCAGGATAGACTTTTAGATACTCTGCTTTGGTCAGTTTTATGGTATTTCTTACTTCTAATTTTTTATTTTGTTTATCAATATTTCATCTTTACATAAGCTGTTTTTATTATATTTTATTACATATAAAATAAAAGCTTTTCTTTTTGAGAATGTTTTAATAACAATGATGAGGATTCTTAAAGGTAAACTAATTTTTTTAATTTTAGATTTGTTTTGATGATGTTTGATGTCTATATTCATATATATGTCTGTATTCATATATATATATATATATATATATATATATATATATATATATATATATATATATATATATATATATATATATATATGTCTGTATTCATATATATATATATATATATATATATATATATATATATATATATATATATATATATATATATATATATATATATATATATATATATATATATATATATATATATATATATATATATATATATATATATATATATATATATATATATATATATATATATATGTAGGTACGCGCATATCGTGATTTACGGATCCGGTTTTTGTGCTAAACTTTTGTGACTCGTTTTTTTCACTTCTTTTTAGGCAGCGTGGGGTAAACGTAGTTTTGTGGAGTTTCTTTATAGAAACATATATACGCATAGATACGTTTTGGAAAGAAGAGAAGCTAATCTTTCTTTTTTTTAAACTTTTATGTATGGTTACTAGACTTTTTGACAGATTATTTTGCTCCTGAATATTTGGTTGATGTTTTCACATGAATTTGTAGTCGAAGTCATGTCGTGTCCGCTTTTTTTGTTATTCAGGCAATTTTTGACATGCATTTTCTATTTATGTACCAAATTTCAACGAAAAATATTTGGGAGCAGATATGTTACAAGGTGCTTTATTAAATATACTGCTTTTTTTAGGTAGGGTTAGACAAACGTTTTTTGTGGTGTTTCTTTTTAAAAACATATAAAACAAAAGTTATATTTGGAAAGAAGAAAGGTTAGGCTTGATTTTTATAGTATTTTTATGTATAATCACTAAAATTTTTTATGGAGAGTTTTGCTGAAAACTTTCAAGAAAATTTCGTTGATGTTCTCACATTAATTTGTTATCGAAGGAATGTCGTGTCCGCTTTTTTTGTTATTCAGGCATTTATTACATGCATTTTCTTTGCACATACCAAATTTCAGCAAAAAATAATTGGGAGCAGATAGTTTAAGAAGTGTAGGACTTTTGGTACCTAAATTTGTTTTTTTCTGTTTTCGTTTTATCGGTAAGAAAAATACGCGAGAGGATAGGGGGGAAGTGGATTGTAAAAAAAAATCATTACTACATTGTATTTTTTTAATTTTTAATATTAGATTAAAATTCAAATAAAAATGGTAAAAGTTATGGAAAAAAAAACTTCAAAAAGTTAATATGTTTTTCATGATAATAATAACTTTTTTAAAAAACAAAACAATGATAAGTTTAAAAAACCTTAATCTTTGTTTACATGGCATGTCAACAAAGATTATTTTTTTAAATTCTACTAATGGTGGCTATTTAAACTTTGATTGATTCCTTTTCTAAAAATTTCTTAATCATTCTATACAAATATCCAAGTTGTACCAACATTAATACTTTCTTTAAATTTTTTTTTGCTTTTTTTTTTGTCAAAATGCTTTGTTTACATAAATCTTTTATTTTTTGCTAACTACTTTAAATATGTGATTAAATTATAAATAACATCGTTAAATATTGTTTAAACAAAAAGTAATCAAGTTTCAAAAGTGTTTCCGTTTCAATGCCACAAGAGTGTATATGAGTTAAATAATAAAATGTCTATTATAAAATATTTATACCATTTTTGTGTTTATATTTGTTTATATTTAAATAAAAAAGCACTCAAAGGTGTAAGAGTTAAAAAGTTAGTTGTGAGTATTATAGTTAATCATTAAGTTCATTATTTATATTTAGAATAAAAAGAAAATAAAAATATTTTTTTCAAAATTATAAGACTTTTTATACTTTTTAAATATATTTTATTATAGTCTATCAAGGCAGATATTCTGCACACACACAAAAAAAGGATCCAAGATAGGTATTGTACTTTGGTTTTTAACAATTTTTAACTTAAGCATAAACAAAAAAAATATCTTTCTTTAAAAATGATAAAAGGTTTTTCATTGATTATATATTTATTTTATTAGTGATGACAATGGACCAGATAAGTAAAAATTATTTTATTTATAAATTTTTTATTTTCTGTTATGTTATAGTTATGTTTTATAATTGTTTTTAGCTTGCTAAAGGTTAGACCTAAGTAGGTATTTTTATTATCAAATTTTAAATTTGATTTTTGAAATGGTTTAATATTAAATAAAAATAATAATTTGATAAGTTTCCGTTATAGAAAAGAAAATTTAGGTTTTATTGTTAAATTGTTGAGTTATTTTGTTAGTAAATTTTGTAATTAATTATTGGAATTCGATTTTAAAGAAGTTGTAAAGATTTTTATTTAACAAAAATGGCGTCAACATTGGCATTAACAGGAAATTTGGTTATCACCATTACAATGAAAAACAAACTGAGATTGGTTATATTCCACTTCAAAACCTCTATTTGTATCATACTTCAATTTAATTTTTTATTTCTTGTAGGTATTTATTTATTGCTCAAAAGAGTTTTTAACTTTATCCAGAGTTGTTTGTTGCTTGATTTTAGTTAAATCACTCATATTGAGTAACAACTTTAAGGTAACTATTGCATATAATGAGTGTTTTTTATAATTTATTACTTTGTTAAATACTAAAATCTTTCCTTACTCAAAAACTTTATGTTTTTTTGTTTTGATTCAGAGTTGACTCGAAATGGAAAAGAAAGGAAAGACCCAGTGGGCACACGACGGAAAAAAGACGTCTTATGTACGTTCAGTTCACGTCCGCTCGATTTGTTCACAATAAGAACTATAATAAGACGTCTTATGAACGTCTTTTTCTCGTCCGTTCCGAAAATAAGAACATTTATCACTTTCAGTTTTGAAAAACCTTTTTATTATGTCTAATGACGCGAATGTCATTATTAAAAGGTGTTTTAATAATGGCGCCATTTTTATAAGGTGTTTAAATAATGGCGATTCTCGTATGAATTACTTTTTAGATAATTGTTAGATAACATATGTGTTTTGTATTTATATATGTATATAGATAAATAAAATATACAAAGATTGTTTATAGATTGTTTTTTTTTACTTTATATATCATTAAATTTTCTTTATTTTTATATACTTTTATTTTTTATGTCATATTAGATACATATAAAAATAATGAAATTTAGATTAACTAATTTTTTTATTATATTACTGTATGAGTATAAAAGCCTATTTTATTTACTGTCATTTATATTTTAAGTATTATAGTTTTTTTTTTAAAACGTAATACTTAAAATATAAATGTCAGGAAATAAAATTATAAAATTAAGATTTTATACTCATACAGTAATAATATAATAAAAATCAGTCAATAAATCTAAATTTGCATTATTTTTATATATATTTAATTTTATTTTCTTTGAAGTTAACAGTCAATAACCTAATCCCTGTTACTATATTATAGATACATGTAACTATATTATATATCATAATATGATATATATGACTTTATGATATATATGAATCGATTCATATATAATATAGTAACATACATATATAATATAGTAACAAGATATAACAGTATAAAAAATTATATGTGTACTACTAATAATAATCGAAAGTACTTTGAGTTACAGGAAAGTTCGAGTTATCTGAGGTTTGAGATATTGGGAGTTTACTGTATTCTTATGATTATTATTTCTACATTTCATCTACATAGAATTTTGAATTTTATGCTGAAAGTTGCACTTTTATATATATATATATATATATATATATATATATATATATATATATATATATATATATATATATATATATATATATATATATATATATATTTTAAATTTTAATTTATTATACTTTTGCAACATTTAATAAAAATACGATGATAAAGCTTTATTAATATATCAATGATTTAACATTTAGTGCACAAACAAATTAAATAATACATTTATTAATGTTAGAATATGATTGTTTTATATTTTAATGGTGAAAAAATCAAAATTTTACATGATATTTTTATTAGAAAATTTTATAAGGATTTTTTGAAAAAATAATGACAAAATTGATAGTTTTTTGTAACTTCAAATGTTATAATTTTTTCAATTCTTATCAAAATGTATACAATTAGATATAAAAACAAAGATATGAAAAAGACAAGGCACCTGCAACACCCAGTAATATGTTACGAATGTATATTTGTTAATGAAAGTTTTGTGTTTTTTATTGAAATTCTGGATTTTTATTTTCAATTTTTTATATTCTAACAGACGATCATTAAATATGATAGATAAACAAGTAGAAAAGAATATAGTAATACATAATACTCTCCTCATATGTAATGCTCTCTTTAAACGTAAATCAAATTGTTTAAACTGGATATGATGATTAAATGTTGTATCGGCATGGTTTTATCTGACTACTTTGCTTTTTCAATTTGGTTGCCAGCTTCAACCTAATTCTTGATTTAGAACTATGATTTTGAACTGAAACATTTCCGTGTTGAATAAAATACTATTTATTCTTAACTGTATTTTTTTTGAGGCTTCAGTTATCAAACTTTGGTGGTAATTTTAGTTATGCCACTGTGAAAGCGTCGATTGTTAAGTATGTGTTTACTTTTTGTATTTTGTTTTGCTATGCAAATAATTTTTAATAATAATTACTTAATTATTAACTAATAAGTTTTGGTTTGTTAAATTATTTATTATTGTTATTGTTTATCTGTATACATTACACTATAGAGTATATGTACTCGTATATCAACTCGTTTCTCCGCGCAGCGGCCTTGTTCATCAAGGTTCGTGTTTCGGAGTTATAGAGTTGAGAGAGGGTTATAGCCACAAATAAGTAGCCTCCTCGTCTGTAGTGGCCTTCTCGGCCTTGAGGAGGTGAATTAAAATTAAAAAAAAAAAAAAAAATGTAAATGCATGTGCAATAGCATAGGTTGTATTTTATTATGTATTCACATAAGGCATTTTCAAGCACATTATCCAATCTGCAAACTTAATTATTTTTATCCTTATGTCGAATGACAACGTTTTGCCCTTTCCCATCCCTAAATGTGAAGGAAATGAGTTCTGTAAATAACAGTATTTTATTTAATATTAAATTAAATTTCATCAACAGGTTTGTAACTTTATTAGTATTTTAGCTTTCAAAAGTTTTGACCATTAAAGATTAGTTTCCCTCCTTAAATGAGGTTACAAAATGTACATCATAACTTTTGAATGCTAATATGAACTCATTTCCCTCATATTCAGATATAGGAGAGCAAAATTTTTTGGGTATTTTAGTTTTCAAGCACCTATATATTATTTATAACAAATAATAGATTATAATTTATTTTTTTCATTGTCAGGTAGACATAAAAAGTTTGAAGTATGCACAAAGCCTGAAAGTGTCAAATATGGAACCTAAAAAAACCTGCCTTTGCCACTGACTATATAAAGGTTTTTTAAGGTAAGAGCTTAAATAAATTAACAGAAAAAAACTATTATAACTTATACATTTTTATACTAAAATATAATAAAAATATATATTTGTAGTTTCAGTTTTTACTGTCACAAATATTAAATATTTGTGACACAAAATACAGATATTGATGTCTGTCTTCTTTAATGTCATTAATGCTTTATCTACTGTTTTCTTTTTGTGCATGACCTAATTTCTTTTCATATCCATAATTCTTTAGGTTTGTTTGTTAAGCGTCAAGTCAGGTTATCTTGCTACTGGTACCATGTAGTACATCCTGCTTAAGCAGGTTGTACGCCATCCATACAACGTTTCGGCATCTGTTTGTAAAATATTGCTGCAAATCTTTTTGAGGGAGCTATTACTACGGAGAACCATCTAAACCATACAAGTGTGGAAACATGGATGTAAATCTTAAACACATTTGTGATATATAATTGTAGAATGTTATATGTTGTAAGTTTGGAAATTATATTCTGCTAAAAAAACTTTTTAAATGTATTTTAGCAGAACATACCTGGCCCGCATTTGATCCTGAAAAACTTTCTTTTTGGACCAAATGCTGGCTGGGTAATTTGGACTTGTAAATGAACTTATATTCATAATTTTTAAACTGCTTATGATCTGATCTGATTTTATTTTTGTCATTTGTTTATTTAGATTAATGTAAAATAAACTGATGAGTTTATTTAACTTAGCTGGTAAAAAAAAGAGTTTTCGTGAAACAAATTTAATGAAGACAATTATAGGTATACCTGTTAATGTAATATATTTTGTATTGTATTTTGTATGCTTAATTTTGACGAATTTTTAATTACTGCAAACTCACACTCGCACAAAAATCAACTGTGAACTCTTATATAATCAGTTGCAAAAGTTGACTTTGAAAATTTTGAATAAGATATTATAGCTTATTTATTAGACTGTGTTTTTAGAATGAAGTTCATTCATTTGCTAGCAACATTTTTAAACGTGGTCCAGATCAAAAAATGTGGTGCTAGAAATTGTCGATAGTGGAAGTGATAGATGCATCTAACCTAATTTGTAATTAATTTCTGTAAATAAATTTCACTTTACTAATTTTTGTGTTGAATTCTTGTTTTTCTAATGATATTTGAAATTAATAAGTCTAAAAATTAACGTATAAAAATATACGCACCAAATAAGACCTATTTATGGCATTCCATACCTAATGTTTTTCATTATTTCTGAACTGTAACTTAAATTAAACTCAATTCTTAGTCCTATCGGGACGTCTTTTTTATGTTCCTCGTAAGGCGTCTTTTTTACGTTCCTCTCAGGACGTCTTTTTCACGTTCCTTCTGGGACGTCTTTAAAACGTTCCACGCAGGACGTCTTTCTGTATTTCCAAATTTAAGACGTCCGATCTGGACGTCTTAAAGACGTCCTAAAGCCGTCCGCGTGCCCACTGGGGACTGTATTTTTGTGTATTTGGATTTATTTATATTTTTTATTTAACAAATATATATTACTTAAAGATAAGTTTTTAAGTATATCTATAATATCTATAAGTATATAATAATATAATTATATTATTATTTACTTGTATATACTTTATCAAAATTGTTAATAATCTTTTAGAAACTTTTACTAATTATTTATTTATTTGTGTATTTGCTGTTGAAGTGAAATGTAAATCACAGAATTTTTAATATTTTTTATGTAAACCAAAGAAAATTTGTTTTCAGAAAATATTTTCAAAAACATGCCATTGATTTTATATATAAAAGATTTGTTAGAAATAATTCAAATTTTATTTTTATTTACGGAAACTGTTCGGCAGCTGAGTTGCCTTTCCGTTGTTTAACGGGAAAAACTTGTTTAATTTAAACGGAAGTATCCGTTTATTTACGGAAAATTTCCGGCAGCTGCCGATGACCAAACTACTCGTTGTTTAACGGAAAAAACCCATTGTATTTTAACGGAAAAAATCCGTTTGTTAACGGAAACTTCCCCCAGTAGGCACAGGACGTAAAAAAGACGTCTTTAGGACGTTCAAATCGCGTCCGTCCGTCCCATTAAAATTTTAAACGTCTTTTAAACGTCTTTTTCGCGTCCAATAATTTTTTCGTCCAAAAAATATCCAGAATGCTTTATTAAATAAAAATAAATCAGTTAAATCACGCAAAATTTTTAAGTAACGTATTTTTAATAAAGTTTTTTTTCAATTACTAAAGAAGTCTTTTTACAACGACTAATAGACACGTTCCATCTAGTTTTTGTTTTTGTTATCAATTACTTGAAAATTGTGGTAATATTGATACAGGTAATGAAATTTTTACAGATAATGAAAGAAACGGTTTAAAACTGAATATAATATATTCATATATATTAAATATATATTATATATTTTTAAACATTTAATTACCTGAAAATCGTATTAATATTGATACATTTATTGAAATTAATACAGATATTGAAATAAATAGTTAAAAACTGGGTATTTGATATACTATATATATATATATATATATATATATATATATATATATATATATATATATATATATATATATATATATATATATATATATATATATATATATATATATGTATATATATATGTATATATATATATATATATATATATATATATATATATATATATATATATATATATATATATATATATATATATATATATATATATATATTAAGTATATACTTGACACTTGACATAGTATTTCAAGTATAATAATTGATATACTATATCAAGAACCAAGTTCTGACTGTTTGAAAGACTTAGACATCGCAGATTGTCATGCATAGTCATATTTTTCAAAAGGAAAACCTATTAATAATACAGAGAGTTTATGCTGATAATTCAATATAATTCAATATCTTTAATTAACAACTTTTAGATTGTTCTATTCGAAATAATTGGACCAGTACATTAGTTAATGAACTTTTTGAAATATTACAATATCAAGTTTTGGAACTTCGCTAATAGTGAATTAGTGAAGTTCAAAAGTTTTGGCTAAAAAATAAGTCTAATTGAAAAAATTAAACCAGTCGTAACAGTTATATAAGAGACAGGAGGGTAGAAAATTTCCTTTACTTTAAAGGAAATTTTCTACCCACCTGTCTTTTATATAACTGTATTTGTTTAATTTTTTTAATTAGACATTTTTTAATTAGATAATTTTTCTCTTTTATCATTCTTTAAAAGTTCAATATGAATAATTTTAATTAAAATCAATATTTATATTTATTATTTGATAAAAATTTATGTTTCAGTAACTTATCCAACTTAAATAAAAATAAGAAAAATATATTTAAAGATGGAATTGATTTAATATTTTTTTGAAATGATTTTTTATAATGATATTTTGAAAATTTATGGTTTTAATTTTAGTATTTAGTAAAAAAATATATAACACAGCAAAAACATTTAAATCAGAATTTCAGTGGTGCTATATAGACATTTTAGGTCATTGCAGTTTTGGTCATCGTTTACTAAATGGCCTATTAGTGGCAGCAGCCAAAAGTGCCTAACATATGAATAATGACTAAATCACAAGTTGGAATGTTATTGGCAATTTACTAAGTAACCGATGAGAAACATAAAGTAATTTCTCCTCTTTTTTTTATCATCTAGGAAATTTTATTAAAGTAAATGGATTATACTTAATAATAAAGAAATTATATAGTCCTTTGATTGATTGCAAACCTATATTTCTATTGTATATATATATATATATATATATATATATATATATATATATATATATATATATATATATATATATATATACACACACAACCCTTGGAATTAAGAAAAAAAGATTGGCAATAATTTGTCGACATCAATCAAAAAAGCAAAAAAAAGTGATTCAAAAGTCTTAATATTAAACATCTTAATTCCAAGGGTTGTATATATATATATATATATATATATATATATATATATATATATATATATATATATATATATATATATATATATATATATATATTTATATATATATATATATATATATATATATATACATATATATATACATATATATATATATATATATATATATATATATATATATATATATATATATATATATATATATATATATATATATATATATATATATATATATATATATATATACATATATATATATATATATATATATATATATATATATAACTAACTTAAAATTTTACTAACATAACTACATTGAAAACAGAATCTTATTTTTTTCAATAAATTTTAAATAAAAACTTGTTTAAAAATTATTTAAAAAAAATTAAAAAAAAAATTACTTATATATATATATATATATATATATATATATATATATATATATATATATATATATATATATATATATCAGGCCTTGTTATGAGATTTCGCTGCGTAACGGAAAAGCTGAACGTGAATAAATGTAACCTTTACTCAATAAAGATATTTACATTGTTAAAAGTTAATTTACGTCAGTTGCGTTTTTACTTAATTGTAATTAAATTTAAAATGACATTAAAAACTATTGTTAGTCTTTGAAACGAAATAGCTTTAAATTGTACAATGTTGTTATAAAAAAAAAAATTTCAGTGTTGGTTAAAAAAAAGTCTTCTTGTATCTTATAAAATCTTATACTTATTTAAACTTAATTTTTTTGCTTTTAAACATTCGTTTTAAGGTTGTTTTTTTTTTATTTTTTTTTTAAATAATTTAAATTTAACACTTGTTTATGGTTGATTTTCTTAAAGGGATTTAAATGTACTTATAACCATAGTCATAATATACATAGTCCGGCCAGTTTAAGAGCGCTATTGTTTATCTTATTGTTAGCTTTTTTTTAGAACCCAGTCTACCAATGAGTGCTCACTTTTTGTAAACAAATGCGCATGAAGAAGAATATTTACAAGAAGATTATTGATTTATCCATGATTTTTGCAAATGCCTTGTCTTAATTGTTACATATTTGGTTCTGGAACTTTTCGAAGAAGTATAAATGTTTTTCTATTGGAAATATTTTCTTCCGATGATGATGTTTATAACAAAGAATCAAGAAGAAAAGTTTTACAAATTATAAATAAAAATAAATCTTTAGTTATAATATATTAAAACTAAAGATAAAATATGATATCAAATAACTTTTTTTTGATCGACAGATTTACTACCTTCAATAAATCAACCAGTTAAGAGCTTTTCATTGGCAAATCCTTCTTTAGGCAGAATATAGTAGTTTCTCATACTACTAAAGCTCAACTTAAAGAAACCAACTTTTTCTTCTGAAGCAGATGAAAGTCAATATTTAAATATTTACATCAAAAAAGATCAATATTTATTACAGCTGTGCCTAACCTTATTTTATTTTTAAAAAGTATCAAAGCTATTTTGTGGCTATTTTAATAGCTAAAATCTTATAAAAACATTATTTGGTATAAATTAAAAGATAAAATTTTTTTATCTTCAATACAAGAATATCACAAGATTTAATGGTTTATGCAATACTTATATATATATATATATATATATATATATATATATATATATATATATATATATATATATATATATATATATATATATATATATATATATATATATATATATATATATATTTATATATATATATATATATATATATATATATATATATATATATATATATATATATATAAGTATATATATAAATATTTATATACATACATATGTATATATATGTATGTATATATAAATACATATAAATATATATAGGCTTATATATACATATGTATATATGTCTGTGTATATATATTTATTTCGAATGCTATTTTAAATAAAGAAATGTATTTATTGTTGTGGTTATATTATACACTGTGCATATAAAGAGGACTTTAAGAAAAACTTGAGGTTATTGGTAATTGGGATATCAAAAGCTGCATTGTCAATCTTTAAAAATATCCATAGAGGCTAAAAAGTGACCTATTAGGTTGAATTTGAGTAAAGAAGTCTTAATATTATTTCAAAATTTTATAAATAAAATCCTGAGAAAATTATTAAACTGCTTAAGTAGTTAAACCAATTGCTTTATTCATTACATTATATGACATTATTTAAAGTAAAAAATTACACA